ACGAAAAAATAGCGAATGTAGTCCTATTGAAAATTAACTCTGATCGATTAAGGGCCGGTTATTCCAACTTCTTAGTAAGTTAACTGATAGTTAAGTTATTTGTCTTTGTTTTTCCTTTAATTTAGACGAAGACAGACATATGATTCAACTGTCCAATTTAATTTACCAAGAAGTTGGAACAACTGGCCCTAAAAAAACTAATTTAACGAAAATGTTTAACAAAGCTCAAATTAGAAAAATGAAGCTTTAAAAGAACTTTACACTGAGAAAAAGATACCTGGTAATTTACTTGTTAGATATAAAGTTTATTCGCAGAAAAATAATTTAACAGAAATATATCTTGTTTCGCCGGAATCAACTTTGTATCCCACAAATTTTCAAATACTTTTTTCTCAATGTAGAGAAACTTTAGAGCTTGAAAATACTTATGTTGCGAATTTAGACATTGTAGGAGACAGAAGATGTGCATGCCATACTGAGAAAAGAAATATCTGAGAAATAAACTAATAATATATTTACTTAAACTTAAACACCGAGAAAAACTTTACAATTTATTCATGGAACATAAAGTTTATTTCTGCGAGTAAATTTCACATCCCATAAGTAAACTCTCAAGTATCCTTTTTTCTCATTGCAATATGAAATATTTTTAAATGAGAAAATATACATTTTCTCGAAATCTTAACTTTTCATTTGCAGCAATAGCTTATTCCATTTAAATAAAATAATCTAAATTTAAGTTTCAAGAATTTAAATTCAATTGAAATTTTTATTTATATTATTAGTATCCACTGCAAATAAATACTTGTTATCTTTTAGATATTATTACTCCCAATACGGCAACTTGAACGATTTCCGGTCTCTTTTGTATTTTCCAAAACAAGGCTGCTGTAGCCTGCATTCGGGTCATAAGAAATACCTGAACGCGTTCGGCCCGAAAACACACCTAAGCCGGAAGTGGGAGGCATCGCCGTCGCCTGCTACACTCGAACGAACGGATTGTTTTCGAGCTATTACTCCAGTCTATCCATCTACCTGTCTGCCTACCTGCCCGCCTGCTTGTCCGGCTGGCTGGCCGGCTCTCGCGACGAGCGCTATAAGCAGGTAATCGTCAATCAACGCGCGCTCGCTGCAAGTTCCGAGAAGAGTGTAGCGCGCGTCCCGATTAAGCTATATATTCCGATCCCGTTCGCCTAAACGGGACGAGGACAGGAAGACGCCCGATAAGAATCGTTAATTCAGCGAGTCAGTGTCGCCATTGTGCGATCGATCGCGGATCGGAGCGCGTTCGTCGCTCCGTCGTCGTTGTCGTCGTCATCGTCGTTCAATTACGCGAATGCGCGCCGATATGCACTCGTAATAACAGGCCTCCCCTCGTTCCCGCGCTCCGAAGCAGCGCTTCTTTGAACAAACGTATTTTTGCAGTCACGGAACATTCTTGACCTAAAGACACTACGCGACGATCCTCCTCTCCCGCCATTGAAATGAAAAGTTATGACTTCCTGTTATCCGCGACTGCGAATGCGAAACTACACTGCGAGAGAGGAAGAGAAAGAGGAGGGAGCAAGAGAGAGGCTGTTGTTTTCTGATTTTCGTCTGCGTACACACACACACAATCGCTGACTCTTGCCTGTCGTCGTATCCACCACATTATTGTACGCTGAGAGAAAGAATATCTAAGAAATAGTAAATATTTACTAAGTAGAGACACTGATAACATATTTAATAACATGTTTACATCAATACGAAATGTTTCTCAAGGATGAAAATATATATTTTCTTAAAACTTTAAGGAAAATCTTAGTTTTCCATGAGAAAACAATCGTTTATTCTTAGTTTTTATTTATTTAGTTAGATTTAGTTTAGATTTAATGTAGATTTAAGTAAATATGTCATTAGTACCAATCAAAACAAATTTCTCAGGTATTTTTTCTCTCAGTGTACTTGAAACGTACAAGAGATTCAGCAAAACGTTCTCTATGAATAAAATACATCTGAACGAACTGTGCGAATGAATTGTGCGAACCGACGATTTAAAGCGGAAACATTTTCGAGCTTGCTACGCAGTCATCTCGATCGATTCGCAAATAATACTCGTTGCGAACATAATAGACACACTCGAACGTGTGTTTTCTAGAAATAAGTCAATATGTACCTCAGTAATGTGCCGCGAATGTTCTCTCAACTCCGAATCTGCGTCTCGATTTTGCAGGCGCGCTTTCGCATCCGCCATCTTTTTCGGCGTCTGTCCTGAAGTTGCCACGAATCGTAAGTTCTCGATTCCAGCGAATCGATTCCTAAATTGAGTTCCGAATCGATTCCTGGGTCGAATGTTGAATCGATTGTCTGTTTGTCATACAATGGCTTGTAGAATGCTTGCAGACATAATGAAATTGGGAGCTCATACCAAACTGTCAAAACTGAGAGTCATCACCGTCGGACTCGCGCAATAATCATATAGTGAAAAACACTACTAAATAATAACATGTAATAATAGTACTAATAATGGAAATAATTATTAATTTAATTACTGAGCAAGCTCGTCATACAGAAATGACTCCCAATTTTGACAGTTTGATGAGCTCCCAACTTCATTGTGTCTAAACCGTTTTGCAAGCCACCGCACATATCACATACATATATACGTACGTTCGTCCGTCGATCCGTCCACCCACGGTGCCCGCACGCCGAGTGTGGGCAGTTTCCTGTACGTTGATCACGTATTCCTTTTTTCCAGCCTACACACGTCCGCGCGCGAGCGCGCGGGCTCCATGTTGGCGAATGCGAGGCGTTCCGAGAGAGGAACACACACGCACGCACACAACACACATGTGCAGGAGTGCACACATCAGTATATACGCGAGCGCCTGTGTGCGTGAGTTAGCCCGTCAACCCTCTTTACCCCTTCCAACCTTCTTTTCCCTCTTCGTCCTCCTCCCTCACAACTGGCCTCAACGCGATACTTGGACTCTCCTCTCCTTCCCTCGTCCCTCTCCCCCGTCCTTCCTTGCCGTGGAAACGTGTCTCTGTGTGAACGTGAGGAAGTGGCGAGGAAAGGGGGAACCTGAGCGATCGTGCGTGCGTGTCTCTCTCTCTTTCTCGCGTATGCGTGCGATAAACCTGACGTCACTGGGCCACGTGATCGCGCGATACGGTGGGGGGAGCCCATTCATAACCCGAGCAAGGACAGGCTTAAGGCCGTTTCGGACGGTCGTTACCTACACCTCGAGTCCCGAAGATGACGGGAAGTTTTTGCCGTATGCTCACCCGCTGTACGGAGGCACGGGGCACCGGCAAAAAATACTTTCGAACGGACATACCACCTATTTCTCTCTCTCTCTCTCTCTCTCTCTCTCTCTTTCTCTCTAGGTGACGAATGTACTTCATGCCGGTTGACCGGCTAAGATAGAATGGGGAAACGCAATGCACGCGACGCGGAATCGACGGAATCCCTCTACTACTACGGTCATTGTAGCGTAGCCAGCGTTGTGGAGCTTGTGAATGATATCTCGAGGCCCCCCCGAGATAACGGGATATTTTTGCCATACCTCTTTCGCGATGCTCTTATGTAAATATACGAGTGTATCGCTCGCGCGCGCGCGCGTCTGCCCGATAGCGCGGAGGCAGACGCGCGATTAGCGCGAACCGCATTCGCGCGACGACTATACGCTTTTTCTCTCTAAATAATAATACCGCCTATATAAACGACACGTTTGTGCGTGTACTGTGCGTAGAAATACGCGAGCTTTCGTGCTCGCAAAGAGTTCGCGAATGATCTTTCCCCCTCTTTTCCTTTTTCTCGATACAAATCGAGATTATCTCGTCGAGCCTCACGTCTCAATTAGAGTTCGCGCTCGTGTAATTGATCAGCGATAAATAACATACTATCGTACACGCGAGCAGCGACAGCTACGGTGTATCACGTCTCATTTATTTGTTTTAACAAAAAAATTGATCGACGCTTCGTGACCGTCGTCGCGAGTTTGTCGTCGATACACGACGTCGTGGCGCGTGAGACACCCTATAGACGGCTGCGAGGCGTGCCCACGGTTGAACAGCGCGGCTGATAGCACGATGGATCACGAGTACAAGCACCGTGTGCGACCAATGAGCCGTATCCTGCTAAACTGTTAAGAAGGAAGTGGTTCGTTGCTGCTGCTGTTGCTGCTGTTCTCTCTCCATCTGTCTATCTATCTAGCTACCGATCTATCTGCCTGCCCGTCCGTCTCTCGCTCTCTCCCTCTCCCTCTCTTTCTTTCTTTCTTTCTCTCGTTCTCCCTCCGCCTAATCTATCTACGTGATTGAGTCGATGCACACACTCATTTCGCTTATTTGTGTATCCGCGCGCTTTGCTTCTTTTCTAAGTTCTTTGTGCTTTTATTATGCACATGCTTTTATTGTGCTTTTATTATGCACTATGTTGTGCCGAGCTTTCTACCATTTCTCTTATCTATTGAATGTATTGATTCTAAAAAATATGGAGATAAATGAGAAAAATTATGTGTTTGCTTGTAATTATGTATTACTTCGTGTTTGCAGAAGTGCAAAGTTATGTGTAGTGCGTTTTACGCAGACAGATAAGTTATATGTACGCCTTAATTACTAGTGAAACTAAAAAAATTTAAGGTAATGTGTTGTGACGTTATCAACTTTATATGCAGTAATAGTGACAAATGATTACAGAAAACTTCGCAAGATGTAACATATAAAGAAAGACGAAGCAAATGAAAATTACGACCTTTTTAGCAAGAAAATAAATAGCCTCATAAGAAAGACATAATTATAATATTTCTTCGAAAATAATATGAGAAATAAATACGTTCTCTCTCCTGTTTATTCTCTTGTTATATACTTTTTGTGCCTTAAACTGACTTCCCTCCTTTCCTTTCTCTTTTTCCCATATTTGCCACGATTTCGAAAAAAGTATTCTTCACATAATCATGCGGATATCGTATGTTTGTATTAAAAAGAAAATAGAGATTCTGCCGATATATACTCACCGGTATTTTGCTGCTTTTCAAGAAATCCAACAACGCTTCGAGGGCTCCCAGGGTAGACGCCTGGACGTAAACTCCTCGTTCGGCTAGTCGTATGTTTCCGAGAGCACTGGACAGCTCCTTTGCAATCTCTTCTTTCAACACGTCCACCTCGTCTGGTTTTTGTGCAACTTGCAGATTTAAGCCTACACACATTAAGCGTACACACATTAACTGGTATTACTTTATTTTAGCATATAAAACGATCAAATGTGCTCTTTTTTTATTTTGGAACAAGACTATTCACAAATTAACAAATTCATTTTATGGATGTCGAAAGTATATTACGTACCGGCGATGGCTTTCTCTAGATCCTTTGCCGCGATTTTCACTCCCTGAGCAGCCTTAACTTCGCGATGCTCGATGTATGCATTCTGAAATAATGTATGCTTGAGTAATGAATATATATTTCAACAAATGCAAATATATACCGCGAAAACCCATAACAACGAACATATCGATGTATTCTCAATGAGCAAAACATGTAACAGTGAAAGATTACCTTAACTCTTAATTCCTTTAACGGCTGCGGCATAAGAAGTGAACGAATTTGCGTTACAATAGGCCCGTCCGTGCCAGCGATAATGACCGTATCGCCCTCCCTTAGCATGCCATTGACTAGAATACAGTCTATCGTAGTACCAAGTCCCGGCAATGCTTTGACTTCCAATACAGTAGCTTGAAGCTCCTCACTATACATCAGTCTCCTGGCCAGAGGACCTTGACAAGCGTCGACTATTAAGGCCAACAAGTTGCCCATACCTTCGCCTGCGTATCACAAATGATATGTAAAAATTTAGAAGTAAATTATATTTAAAAACTAAAATATTTGAATTTTACACACACACACACACACACACACACACACACACACACACACATATAATTGAATTTAAAAATACAATTCAAATTTAAAGAATTTTAAATAAGAAATTAAAAAATATATATAATTTATAAATACAACTGAAAAAAAATATATAATAAAATGTTAACATTATTATAATACCTGTTATAGCACTGGTTGGGACTAATGACACATAACTCCTAGGATCTGGATTTTCGTAAAACAACGCTGCATTCAAACCTTGCTCCGCAAATTGTACAATGATATCCTTCGATCGCTTTTCGAATTCTCGCTGAGTATTAGATGCTTGATTTTTCACTATATCCTGAACATCCTTACGATTCATAGTCTGCCAATCGTATAACCTAAGAAAATCGAACTTGTTATGACACAATAATACCGCAATACCAAACTATTGTGAGTTGCTCGAAGCCGCATAAATGTCTTACACTCCTCAGTTATACGAACGGTAAACCTACCTGTCGATTTTATTGAGAGCGACAACAAAAGGACATTTCTTCGCTTTCAACAAATTGATACTCTCTAACGTTTGCGGTTCTATCCCATGCATAATATCTACAACTAAGATTGCTATATCACAAAGAGAGGATCCTCTGCTTCTGAGATTGCTGAATGACTCGTGACCAGGCGTGTCTATGATCAAGAGACCAGGGATTTTAAATTTCTTGTCGGCAAACTAAAAACAAAGAGAGAAACACAGTTGTAACGTATCTGCAATTTCAATGTATGCTGTGACTCGCGAATGTACAAGAGCATATGCACTTACGCCTTTCACATGTTTCGTTGATTCTTGGATAGCTTCAATTGGCACATTAGTAGCACCGATCTGTTGAGTTATACCACCTGCTTCACCATCTTGCACATTCGTTCTCCTTAACTTGTCCAGGATCTTAGTCTTGCCAGTATCTACATGACCCAATACACAGACCACGGCCGCTCTTAGATTATCCAGTGTCTTCTTCTTCTCAGCTTCGATACGACGATTCTGGATACGCTCTCGTGCGCGTTCTTTCTTACACGCGGCATCTGGCACTTTATCTTCCACTTCGCTGTCCTCGTCGCTCTCATCTCCCTCCGACTCAGATTCGCTGCCACTTTCGCTCTCAGTCTCGCTTTCTGAGGACTCTTTCTTCTCTGACTCGGTTTTGGCAGGAATTTTTTCGACTGGCTGTTCTTTCTCTTTCTCAGGAGTCTTTGCAACGTCGTCTGATTTATCTAAAATCAAATAATTGAAATTCGATTACTTTAATATTTAATATATATTACGATCCATATAATTTATGATTTTACATAAGACAATACCTTCTTCTTGCTCGTCCTCAGTACTGTCGGCATCCCACGAATCCTTAACATCATCTTCTTCCTTCTTTTCTTTTACTTCTTTCACCTCCGTTGATTGGTCTACAATTTCCACTTGCACTTGATCCGCAGGTGTTTCATTATTTTCAAGCTTTTCGTCTTCCTTCTTCTCCACACTAACTTGTTGTTTTAACTTATTCGGTCTAATTCGTGTTCCTAAAACAAACCAAATGGTAAATATTGTAGTTCTACACACAATATTCTTACGACAGTATTCTTACAGTCTTTTATATCAACGTATCTCGCGAAATACCTGGTCTAGGTTTCTTCTCCCCCACATCCGGTAAATCGAGACCTTGAGCTTTAAGCGCTTCGATCATCGCCTGCGCCCTAGCTCTGTCTTGTTTCTGCTTCGTTGTTAAGAATTTTCCCTCTGCCTTCAACCTCTCTTTTCGCTGCTTTTCCTTTAATTTTTTCCTCTCCTTGCGTTCCTGTTCAAGTCGTAATTGTTCGAGTCGCGCCTGTTCCCGTAATTCCTCTTGCCGCATTCTCTCTTCCTCTTCACGTTTTAATCTTTCTTCCTCCTCCTTCAACTTCCTCAAAGCTTCCTGCATTGCAGCAATAGTTTTCTTTCCAGGACCTTTACCTGTTACAAAAATTTGCTGTATTAGAACACCGCACGAATAATCTGTCAACTGATAAGCAAGATTACCTTTTTCTTTAGCTTCCTCCTTAGCACCTTTTTTCTTTTTCTTCTTGCTATCTTCAGGTTCAATAGCATCAACGTCGACTTCCATACTATCTTGTTTCTTTTCAGATACAGGTTTATCATTCTTCTTCTCATCAGTTTTTGTTATTTCATCATCCTCCCCCTTCTTAGATTCCTTAGAAATTTCCTGTTACAATTTTTAACTATTAATACTGGAATGAAAAGTTCCCACATAAGCAAGATCTGTACAATGAATGAATTTCATTTCTTATTTACCGCTTTTTTCTGAGCCAATTTCTTCTGCTTCTCTCTTTCTTTCTTTTCCTTCTTCTTCTGTGCTGCTGTTTTTACAGTGCTAACTTCCACATCCATGTCAGTATTATTTGTCTCTGGGGCTACTGCATCTTCGTCCTTAATATCATTCTTTTCAACCTTTTCCTTCTTCTTATCCTTCTTCCCTTTTTTCTTCTTATCCTCGTCGTCAACCGTTTGCTCATTGGGTTCAGGTTTGCTTTCAATTTTGTCTTTGACTGATTTCTCTCCAGAATACTCCAGGGCCAACTCTGCCAAAACCTTTTCAATGTCCTCGTCGCTATCATTGTGCTTTCTCCTGACTGTTGACACAAGAAATCAGTTTTATATAGACAACTAATATTACTGAAAAAATTACAGAGTCAGATTATTATATAACACATATAGAATGCCTCTTATAATAAAACATAGCTATATGGATCAAGTATGTTTCGCAAATCATGATGCTAATTATAGATCTGTTCTTTTTCATAGTACACTTACAGAACTTAAAAAGAAATAGGTATATAGTTGATACTTGATAAATGAAAAAGGAAAAGAAAACTAGTGTAAGCTAATGCGGGTAGTATAGTGAAAAAGAACAGATAATACAATAATCAGGGTCACTAACTTTCACCTTGAACAACTTTCACTTTCAGTTTATCCAAGCTGGTGACAGTCACCTGTGAATGACATAAACTGAAACCAACTTGAAGAACACTCCGAGATGTTCGTACGTGCTTCAGTCTTGCAACGTTACCTAATATCTGGTAACCTTATGAAACTGACCTTGTAAAATGCATTTTTATGAATTTCGGTCACAATTCTCTCATTTCAAGAAATCGCATATATCCGTCACTGAGTAACGTGATTATACACGCGATATCACGAACTCAACCGTCAACATCGCTGATCCTGAACGTGACACGAGTCGGGTCGCGAGTGAGGTTAGGTCGTAGCAGACGACATTTGCCACATCGGTGAAAGAGAAAGAGAGAGAAAAAGCGAGAGAGCGAAGCACGGATGAACTCTCGACAGCCGGCCTAGGTCGCGCATATGTTAATTTCATGGGCATATTCTCGCTTTCGAACGACGAGGATATGGTAGACTCTCGGCTCACCTTTTTTGCCCTTCTTCGGCTGAGATTCCTGCATCCTGGCCTGCTGCGATAGACGATTGTCTCGTGCACGTTGATCGCGATGATGCGGTCCTTTGGAGCAGGGCGGTACATACACAGCTGCACGCACGAAACCACACTCGACACACGAAATAGCGCGAACGCGTATAACCTAGTCAGCGCAGTCCTGCCGCGAGAAGTTGCCGTGTCTCACTGCGTGCGCGTCATCTGTCGGTCAGTGCTGCGAGTTCGCGAGATTTTTTCTACGGCAAGAGGTCTTTGCGCATGCGCGGACGATATAATATCCAATAGCAGACTGCTACGTCACTCTACGCATGTGCAAAAAGGTGTGGGTCCAATGGTCGATAAACATATCCATATCCGTAACTATAAATAAAATCGAGTCGTGATTGGTCGTGATATATATCATGACCAATTACGACTCGATTTTGTTTATGGTTACGGTAGAGAATCTCTAGTAAAGAGAATTGCCAACTTGGTCATGTGACCAGCTACTCAGCTACTCTGTGATTGGCTGGCATAAACATATACGGTTTTGGACATTGCGACGCCGATGCAAAACCATATATATATATATATATATATATATATATATATATATATATATATATATA